GACGCCGAATCGAGGAGGTCGTCGAGCGAAGACGGAAGAGACCGACGCCGAGATCGAGCGTCGAGCGACGAAGACGCCCAAAGAAGAGTTGACCGACGCCAAGATCGAGGAGGTCGTCGAGCGGATGGAAGACGCCCAAAGAAGAGTTGACCGACGCCAGATCGAGGAGGTCGTCGAGCGGACGGAAGACGCCCAAGAAGAGTGACCGACGCCGAGATCGAGGAGGTCGTCGAGCGGACGGAAGACGCCCAAAGAAGAGTCGATAGACGCCAAGATCGAGGAGGTCGTCGAGCGGACGGAAGACGCCCAAAGAAGAGTTGACCAACGCCGAGATCGAGGAGGTCGTCGAGCGGATGGAAGACGCCCAAAGAAGAGCTGATAGACGCCAAGATCGAGGAGGTCGTCGAGCGGACGGAAGACGCCCAAAGAAGAGTTGACCGACGCCAAGATCGAGGAGGTCGTCGAGCGATGGAAGACGCCCAAAGAAGAGCTGAGACGCCAAGATCGAGGAGGTCGTCGAGCGGATGGAAGACGCCCAAAGAAGAGTTGACTCGAGGAGGTCGTCGAGCGGATGGAGAAGAGTTGACCGACGCCGAGATCGAGGAGGTCGTCGAGCGGACGGAAGACGCCAAAAGAAGAGTTGACCGACGCCAGATCGAGGAGGTCGTCGAGCGGATGGAAGACGCCCAAAGAAGAGCTGACCGACGCCAAGATCGAGGAGGTCGTCGAGCGGATGAAAGACGCCCAAAGAAGAGTTGACCGACGCCAAGATCGAGGAGGTCGTCGAGCGGATGGAAGACGCCCAAAGAAGAGTTGACCGACGCCAAGATCGAGGAGGTCGTCGAGACGGAAGACGCGTAAAGAAAAGTGACGAAGATCGAGGAGGTCGTCGAGCGGACGGAAGACGCCCAAAGAAGAGTTGACCGACGCCAAGATCGAGGAGGTCGGCGAGAGGACGGAAGACGCGTAAGAAAAGTGTCGAGATCGAGGAGGTCGTCGAGCGGACGGAAGACGCCCAAAGAAGAGTTGACCGACGCCGAGATCGAGGAGGTCGTCGAGCGGACGGAAGACGTCCAAAGAAGAGTTGACCGACGCCGAGATCGTGGAGGTCGTCGAGCGGATGGAAGACGCCCAAAGAAGAGCTGACGACGCCAAGATCGAGGAGGTCGTCGAGCGGACGGAAGACGCCCAAAGAAGAGCTGACCGACGCCGAGATCGAGGAGGTCGTCGAGCGGACGGAAGACGCCCAAAGAAGAGTTGACGACGCCGAGATCGAGGAGGTCGTCGAGCGAGGAAGACGCCAAAGAAGAGTTGACCGACGCCGAGATCGAGGAGGTCGTCGAGCCGACGGAAGACGCCCAAAGAAGAGTTGACCGACGCCCGGATGGAAGACGCGAAGAGGACAGACGCGAGATGAGGAGGTCGTCGAGCGGACGGAAGACGCCCAAAGAAGAGCTGATAGACGCCGAGATCGAGGAGGTCGTCGAGCGAATGGAAGACGCCCAAAGAAGAGTTGACCGACGCCGAGATCGAGGAGGTCGTCGAGCGGACGGAAGACGCCCAAAGAAGAGTTGACCGACGCCAAGATCGAGGAGGTCGTCGAGCGGATGGAAGACGCCCAAAGAAGAGTGACCGACGCCAAGATCGAGGAGGTCGTCGAGCGGACGGAAGACGCCAAAGAAGAGTTGACCGACGCCGAGATCGAGGAGGTCGTCGAGCGGACGGAAGACGCCCAAAGAAGAGTTGACCGACGCGAGATCGAGGAGGTCGTCGAGCGGACGGAAGACGAAGAGTTGACCGACGCCGAGATCGAGGAGGTCGTCGAGCGGATGGAAGACGCCCAAAGAAGAGTGACCGACGCCAAGATCGAGGAGGTCGTCGAGCGGATGGAAGACGCCCAAAGAAGAGTGACCGACGCCAAGATCGAGGAGGTCGTCGAGCGGACGGAAGACGCCCAAGAAGAGTTGACCGACGCCGAGATCGAGGAGGTCGTCGAGCGGACGGAAGACGCCCAAAGAAGAGTTGACCGACGCCGAGATCGAGGAGGTCGTCGAGCGGACGGAAGACGCCCAAAGAAGAGTTGACCGACGCCGAGATCGAGGAGGTCGTCGAGCGGATGGAAGACGCCCAAAGAAGAGTGACACGCCGAGATCGAGGAGGTCGTCGAGCGGACGGAAGACGCCAAAGAAGAGCTGACCGACGCCGAGATCGAGGAGGTCGTCGAGCGGACGGAAGACGCCCAAAGAAGAGTGACGATCGAGGAGGTCGTCGAGCGGATGGAAGACGCCCAAAGAAGAGTTGACCGACGCCGAGATCGAGGAGGTCGTCGAGCGGATGGAAGACGCCCAAAGAAGAGTTGACCGACGCCGAGATCGAGGAGGTCGTCGAGCGGACGGAAGACGCCAAAGAAGAGTGACCGACGCCGAGATCGAGGA